GTGCCTGGTCCAAGAAAAGTGCTTTGAGTTTGCCATTGTCTATGTATGTGCTGGGGTGAACCCTCTCTCAAGCATAGTCTGGGTCCTAACCCTGGGCACCTCCTAAGATTCAGTGCCTTGTCAAGATCATGTGTCTTCAGGGCTTTTTTAACACCCCTGGAATCAGTCATGGACAGAGAAAGCTACAATTCCAAGAGTCCTAACACCCTGGTCTCCGGATTCAAGGTACAGCTGGCAACAGCCTCTGTCCACCAGGCAGGTGATAGAAACCAATTTGCAAGTGTGAAGCCAGCTGGTGGGAAGACAAGGAGGGGGCCGAAAGGGCTGTGAGGCTCTTTTTAAAAATAATTAATTAATTAATTTCTTGGCTGCGTTGGGTCTCCGTCGCTGCTGGCAGGCCCCCCCAGGCTGCGAGGAGTGGGGGCCACTCCTCGCGGTGCGTGAGCTTCTCATTGCGGTGGCCTCCCCGCGTTGCGGAGCACAGGCTCCAGGCACACGGTCCTCAGCAGTTGTGGCGCACGGGCCCAGTTGCTCCGCGGCACGTGGGATCCTCCCGGACCAGGGCTCGATGCCATGTCCCCTGCATTGGCAGGCGGATTCTCAACCACTGTGCCACCAGGGAAGCCCTGTGAGGCTCTTTTTAAAGTACTTTTGTTCCTTGGCGGTGTGCTGCTCACCTCTGTGCCTACTGCTGGGAGGCAGCTCAGAAAATGAAACACCCTGGGGCTACAGGGCCAATCACTTTCCCGCTGGGTCGGGCCCCACCTCCATGCAGATTTGCGGGGGAGGTAGAGGAATCTGGTGACGACAGCACCTGACCGGAAGTCAGATCTGTTTTTAGCCCAGCTCTGTTACGGATGTGCTGTGTGACCTTGAAAGAGTCACTTTTCCTCTCTGGGCTTCAGTCCTGCTCTGCCAAAATTGGGACACACTCCCTGTCCTTCCTTTCCAACCAGAGATATGGTGAGAATAGAGGAACTCCTCAAAATGTCACCTCCTCCTTGAAGCCTTCCATATCAGACAGAATTAAAGGGAACTGAAATCCTCCCCACCTCCTTCCATCTCTCCCAGGCTAAACATGCAATATTAACCACCAATTTGCTCGTTGATTAATTGAATCCACATGCATGTTCAGTGCTGGTCTGCCCTCCTGTCTACATGTCCTTTCTGTCTTGTTTGCAAAACTCCTCTGAAGTGGGCTGTGCCTGCCTCCTTGCTCTGAATGGCATGGAGAGTCTAGCAGAGGAGGCCTCTGACTGAGGGATGGCTCGGGGCTCCAGGTGAGAAACGAAGGTCCCATGGAATCCCAGATGGATCAGAACTTAATGAGGGCTTCCCTGGTGGTGCAGTGGTTAAGAATCCGCCTGCCAGTGCAAGGGACACAGGTTTGAGCCCTGGTGCAGGAAGATCCCACATGCCACGGAGCAACTAAGCCTGTGCGCCACAACTACCGAGCCTGAGCTCTAGAGCCTGCAAGCCACAACTACTGAGCCCACGTACCACAACTACTGAAGCCTGCATGCCTAGAGCCCGTGCTCCGCAACAAGAGAAGCCACGACAATGAGAAGTCAGCGCACCGCAACAAAGAGTAGCCCCCACTCACCACAACTAGAGAAAGCTGGCACACAGCAACAAAGACCCAACACACCCAAAAATAAATAAATAAACAAGTAAATTTATTATTTTTTTTAAAAGAACTTAATAAGCCTGAGAAAAGTAAGTTTTGGGGGAGATCAGAGATGGGAAAAGCACTTTGAAAAGTGAAAAGAGGGGATTCCCTGGTGGTCCAGTGGTTAGGATTCCGGGTTCTCACTGCCGAGGGCTGGGGTTCAATCCCTGGTCAGGGAACTAAGATCCTGCAAGCTGTGCAGTGCAGCCAAAAAAAAAAAAAAGAAAGAAAAAGTAAAAGAAAAAAAAGTGAAAGTGAAAAGAACTATGAAAATGGGAGAAAGTCTTAGTCTCTGGACAAGGGCACAACACAATAAGAGAGGGAGATGGGGAGGGGGGTTAGTTTAGCTTTGATGAATGCTAAGTTTTGCAGTCAGAAAATCTAGAAGGAAGCTAGTTTAATTTTAGGAAGCATGGAAGTTCTGTGTCAGTTTCCAAAATAACATTTTATTTTGGATTACACATGGGCAAGGGATGTGTGTGTGTGTGTGTGTGTGTGTGTGCTTTCCACTCATTTTTTTCAGGGCTTGGGGCTGCTAAGGTCTTAATTCAATGCTAGGCATACCTCAACTTCAAATGGAATAAGCCCAGCTCTTCTGCTCATCACCCCCTCTCCCCACCACCTACCCCCTCTCTCTATCATCTGCCTAATCAGGTCTCCACCTCCAAGACCCGCCCCACGACGGCCCCAAACCGGGCCAGCTTCGGTGAACCTCCAGTCTCCAGCCTCTCTGAGCGCTTTGAATTATGACCCCATCACCTGTGAATACCTGCGCCCTTCCTGCTCTTGCCATCCTCCACCAAATGCCCGGCTGCCAAGGGACATTGAGTGTCCCGTGTTTTGGACTTCACTGCCTTTTCAAAACTTACCCCTCCTGGGCTCCATTCCATCTATACCAAAGCCCCGGATGACACACGCATAGTAGGGGAGGGGCACATATTCTAGTCTTTCCATCCTAGATTGCACTTTAAGACCCTCTTAGGGAATTAGCCTCTCACGGAAAGAATGTTCTGTCTGGGACTTCCCTGGTGGTCCAGTGGTTAAGACTCCGCGCTCCCAATGCCAGGGGCACAGGTTCAGGGAACTAAGATCCGGCATGCTACACTGTACAGCCAAAAAAAAAAAAAAAAAAAGTTCTGTCTAACAGGGGAATTTCGTAGCACTGAAGGAGACCAAAAGGGAGAGATTTATTATCACTAACATGTAGTTAGTGATAATATAATCGACACCAATAACTGCACAACTGTGAGGTTCCAGGCACTATGCTAGGTGCATTACATTCTTTATCTAATTCCGACAACCCTATGAGGCAAGTGTAATTATCATCATAATAAAGACAACAAAATTAACCGAGTACTTACATGCTAAGCGGTTCACCTGGATTGTCCTGTATAACACACAGCCTGTGAGGTAGGTGCTATTGCTGTTCCATTTTCCAAACGAGGGAACCAAGGCATAGATCAGTTAAGTAAGTTGTCACACAGCTATTAAAATAAGGGGTCTGAAAAAATAAAATAAAATAAAATAAGGGGTCTGAACCTCAGAGAGTTTAAGTAACATGTCCATCTTTACCCAGCAAACAAGCAATGGAGAAAAGTCTATGTTTTCCCCACTACATGCTCACCATGCCTCCTCCTGGGGCAATGGAAAATGCCAGGTTGAGGTGAGGGCAGCTGGGACCAAGAACTGCTGGGGTGGAGATAGGGGTGGGACTTCGTCAGCTCCAGACATCAGCATACCCCTGACACAGAGGGTGTCCAGAAATGCTCCAGGACCCCAACTCCAGACACCTGCCAAAAGTCCCTGGCTTTGCTGGCCTCTCCCAGTAATCCTTCCCTGACTCCTGCCCATCTGGCTCATTAGAATCACAGCTATTGTTCAGCACCCCATTGGAATGCTGCCTCCTCCAGGAAGCCTCCTGGATGGTTTTAACCCAGAGCCATCTGACCTTCTCCGGAACATTGTCCACTCACTTGGCTGTCCTGTTCGTCCTTGGGGGTAGGTACTGCCATCTGGCCTCCCCCACCAGGTACTGAGTTCCTTTAGACTCTAACGCCTAACACATGATCAGTGCTCAGAGAATTCTTTTTGAAGGAATACATGCTGCACTGGGGACTCCCCTGGGTCACTGGGGTCATGAATTTCAGTGCCTCTGGTGAGGGGTGATGGAGAGGGAGGTAGGAAATACAAACGCGTGACAAGCCCAGGTGCAGAGATGAGGGAGTGGTGAGCTCTGTGGCAAACTAGAGTCTGCGTGCTCCCCTGAGGGGCCTACCACCACGTTCAGTTGCACCCACTCCCCGCAGGTGGCTGGGACCTATTCTCGCCCTGACCACCCTCACTTTCTTTCCCTTTCTCTAGCTTTATTTTCCTACTCTGTGCATATCACTTTAAAGCACACACTACATACTATTTATTATATTTAACATGTCTCCCCTCACAATGTGAAGTACCTAAGGGCAGAGATTTTGCTTTTTTTTTTCCCCCTGATGGTTAGCATTTTTTAGCAATAAAGTATTTTCGAGTAACTTTTATTGGAGTACAGTTGATCTACAATGTTGTGTTAGTTTCTGCTGTACAACAAAGTGAATCAGTTATACATATACATATATCCACTTTTTTTAAAGATTCTGTTCCCATATGGGTGATTATGGAGTACTGAGTAGAGTTCCCTGTGCTCTACGGTAGGTTCTTATTAGTTACCTATTTTAGATAGTAATGTGTACATGTCAATCCCAATCTCCCAATTTATCCGCCCCCCCCGCCCCCATTTTGTCTGCTTTGTACTCTGGTGCAGTCCAACCTCTCATCAGTGCCCTGCACAATAGATAGGTGTTGAATAAATCCTATTTATAAATCCAAGAGAGTTCTTTGCAAGTCTGCAGTGAACAGAGCTGCCCCAGGGCCCGCTGCAGTGTCCAGGCTTCCGGAAGCATTCAGGGTTCAAGGCAGGAAGGGTGAAGGCTTATGGGGGTCACAACGAACGAGCCCCGCAAAGAGCCCTCAGGAGGTGGCCTGGTCTGTCTTGGTGACAGCAGGGCCAGCTAGAAGCAGGGCAGGAGGGTTAGTGACTACCCTGGGGCCAATGGGGCATTTCTGGGCGAAGCTGATGTGGGGTGGGGGTGGGGGGTTATGGGTGGGATGGTGGTGGAGGAGGGGCACTCAATCCAGAGCACCCCCACCACCCCCTGCCAAACACACACACTAGCGCCAGACGTACCCACCATACACGCCCCCGCATGTACCAGAAGACGCAGGATTAAGAGAGGGCAGAAACAGATGGGGCCGGAAGAATGTCCTAAAAAGTAGGGAAAGGGCAAAGAGGGGGAGGGGAGAGACACCCCGGAGTCTACGATGCTCCCGCTGGAGGGCTGGGAAGGAGGGTTCAAGGGAGGTGCTCTCTGCACCCGCCCGCCGCAAAGCTCTTCTGCCCCCGGACCACCGAGCACCCCCTCGGAGGAGGGCGCCGGCCTGCGAGCTGGGGGGGCTGCGTGTCTCCCCCGACCCGCCCCCGCACCTCCTAAGCAGGTTGCAGCCGCCTCAGCAGCCGCAGCGCTTTCACCTGCGCAGCCCTGCGCCGCGCCGCCATTGGCTCGCTAAAAATGCCTCGCTAATCTGCGCCCATCTGTGCGCGCCTCCTCCCTCCGCCTCCTCCTCCTCCTCGGCTCTGACCTTCCTCCTTAGCGCAGCCCCTGCGAGATCTGGAGGGACGCGGTGGCGGCGACGGCGGCGCAGCCTCTCTTACCCCGGGAAGTCGTCCGGGCTTGAGGCCGGGCCCCCAACGCGCCGTTTGGCCCCGCGGCGCCGCGGATGGTGCCGGGCGCGCCTGCCCCCAGGTAGGAGGTCTGGCCCTTGGCTACAGGGTGGGGAGGGAGGGCTCCAGTCAGGGGGTGCGTGTGTGCGGTGGGCGCAGAGACTGACAGGGGAGAATTGGACAGTTACCTGCAGAGAGGTGAGCGCGCGGCCGGGGGTGCTTTGCAAACGCCGGGGTTCGCGGGCATCACCCGGGTAGTATCAGGGTATCCCTAAGCTGGGCCCCCTGGGAGAGGGACCTGGCGGAGACCTTTACCTGGGGGAAAACGCAGGAACTAGGTTCCTTGGGAAGGTGGGACGCACACCCCGGGTCCTGTCCGAGTCTCTGGCCTGGCTTGTTCCGGTACCAGCAGGGTGGGCGGGCTGATGCCAGCTTGGTGCATAGGCTGTTTGTGGACCAGAGTGGGCTGGGGAGAAACACAGCAGCTGATCCGTGCCCTATGTCCTGTCTGGTTTACAATTAAAGGTATTTTCTTCCGTCCGTCTACCCCTTCCCCCACAGTTGGATGGGAGGGGGGAAGAGGAACAGGAGGTGACGATGAAGGGCCCGAAGATGCAGCAGAAGCCAGGGTCTGTCTGGCACTGCCCTCCTCCCCACCCCCGGGCCACTTGCTGCCTGTTAGAACTCTCTCTCCTTATTTTTGCCTTAGGGGAGGCCATGAAGAGATTAAAAGGTCATCAGGGTGTGAGAGACACAGAGACAAACCACAGAGCTTGGCCAGTCCAAATTTCAAGCACCAGCTGCCCCCCACACTCCACTGCCCAGCTCTGCACCCCACGTGCAGTGACACACATGGATGCTTTTCTCTGGGCACAACCATAAATAACTCACATTGTCCCCGCTCTGGCATGGCGGGTGTGCAAACAGAACTGTCAATGATTTTGGAGGTTCTATCCCTCACCCACCTGGCCTTCCCATAACAGGTCCATAAGCCACTCACAAGCCCCCCCTCCAGGCAGCTTCCTGATACCCCAGGTGAGATCCTTGCCTCCTGCCCTGCATTCTCCAGCCTAGCCTGCCTGCGGCTTGGTTATTTATGCCTTGTCTGTCGCCCACTGCACTGGAAGTGCTTTAGGGTAGGAATGTGTCTCATTTATCTGTCATCGCCCCTGTACCTGACCAGGGTCTGGCACCACGTAAATGTGGGATGAGTGAATGAATCAACCTGAACTCTGAGAAATAGCTGGCAGCCTGAAGGAGGAGGGTGAGGCTATCGTGAGCTTTCCTCCCATCCCCCAGGACCGAAGAGCTACCAAAAACAGACAGTCCCATTCAGGCCCTTCCTGGGCCTAGAAGTGATGCGCATCTACGGCATTCAGAGATAAACACTGCAGTCCTGAGGGCTCCAAAGGGTCTTTTTGGGCCCCTGGTATGAGTCCCTGGCTGGTCCAGGCTTGGTGGAAGGCCCTGGTGAAGATCTGGCTTTCCTCAGGCCCCTGGGTTGGCACTTTTCTCCTGGGGTGCTAAGCTCACTCCAGGGTCTCTGTCTCTGTCCCAGCCCTTGGGAGGGTCCCGGTCAGCATCAGGGCGTCTGTGAGGCCCAAGCCAGATCATCTTCAGCCCCTGAGGTCCTCATAGTGAGTTCTGAATAGATCTTAAGATTGTGTGGAGGAGCCGACCCAGGCCAGAAGAGGAGGCTGCCAGCAAGGGTTCTGGCCCAGCCACAAGGCTCTGTCTGTGACAGGGACATCCTCAGAGCTTCCCCAGCCCTTGTTGCTCCTTTGACAGCCATGCTGCTAAAATACCTGCAAGATGTTCTTATTCTTATCTCACAGAGGGGCAGACTGAGGCCCACAGAGGGTCAGCAGCAGAGCCAGGGCCAGCACTCAGCTCCTGGCCCCAAGTCCAGTGTTCTCTCCACTGGGCTCGAGGGAGCTGGGGTGAGGCCCCAGACCCAGGTCAGAGTGTCTAGTTGTCCTCAGTCCCGTCTGGCTCTGTCCTGGCCCCTAGTAATGGAGAGTAAGGGCGTGTTGCTTCAGGGCTAGCGGGGGGAGGTGGAGGATGGTTAGGTTAGTGCCTGCAAGTGGCTGGCCCTGGGGGCCTTTCGGGGAGGGATACAGTAAAAACAGTAGAAACTAACAGTGCACAGCGTCTGCCGCGTGTCAGAAGGCAACTATTTTTCGTGAATGGAGTCATTCAGTCTTCACATTAGCCCAATGAGGTAGGTACTACTATTACCCCCATTTTACAAATGAGGAGACTGAGGCACAGAGAGGTCATCTATCCAAGGTCACACGGTTTGAAATTGGAGGAGCTAGGATTTGAGCCTAGGCTCCAGAGTCCTTTATTCCCTAATACATTCCCTAATGCAAGAGCAAGAGGGCTGTGGACCTTACTGCTGAAGGGCTCGTCTCTGTGGAGACACAGGTTTCAGGTACTCTGTGGCTAAAGTCCCCACATGTTAGGTAGTGTGTGCATGATTAAGTGTGACTGTGATGGTTTCGGATGCCCAGAATAATAACACCCATAGTAGTGGGGATCTTTGGGCACCTACTGTGTGGCAGGCAGAAATCTTTATAAGATGCACATCTGAGTCTGTCACTCCCCTGCCCTGCATCCTTCATTGGCTCCCCATTGCCCTGAGCACAAAGTGCAGTCTCCCTCCTGTGGCCCTGCTGCCCTCCGCAAGCCTGGGTTTCCTCTCCCTTCTCACCCCACCTCTGCCCTCAGCTGCTCTGAACTGCTTTCAGTTCCTCAAATAAATCACACTTCTCTCACCTGCAGGCCTTTGCACAGGCTGATCCCCTGCCTAAAACACGCTCCCTCCCCCCTCCTCCCTACCCATTCCTCCTCACCCTCAGGAGTCTGCTGAAACTTTTCTTCCTTCCAGAAGCTTCCATGAATTCCTCCTCCCCACACTTAGCTCACCTCACCTCACACAATATCCTCTCTGGCTTTTCATTCCTCGCACCCACCCCCAGCTGTGGAGTCCTTGGGGGCAGGGTCTGTGTCCTGTTCCCGAAGTCCCCAGTGCCTAGCACACAGTAGCCCAGCTCCTACTTGTGGGATAAGTTAGCAAATATTGGTCCCCCTCATACACTTTCTCTCCTCACCAATTTCAGGACTTTTTAGCATTCTCCTCCCAAGAGGAGCTAAGGACCCCTTCAGAATTTGCCTATAACACCCCCAGCAAGGATGGGCTGGTGGTGGAAAGCCTTCAGTGGAGAAGTGAAACTGCTTGTGGGCCTGGCAGGACAGGGGAGGCATTGGGTGGGAGTTGGCTGATCTGGGGGAAGTCCTCCCTGGGGAAGCAGGTAGGAGGGAGGGGGGAGGAGTGGGCGAGTCAGATAGGAGGAGGGCTGCTTGGTTTGGTTTTACATTTTTCTTAAAGAAAAAAAAGGCTTTTATTATTGGGTTGTTTTTTTTTTACATCTTTATTAGAGTATAATTGCTTTACAATGGTTATTGGGTTTTTCTTTTTATTACCAAAGTAATATGTGCCTGTGTGGAAAATCTAGAATGTACTGGAAAGCCAGATTAGAAAAAACTATTAGCTAGCACCAGACCTACCCACTTGTGGGCACTTTGTGGCTGGTTTCTAGCCAGGGACCCGTGGACCGGAAGGGGGAGGTGGGGACTGGGGTCTGGTGGGGCAGGTGAGGGTCCCAGGACTGGGACTTATGCGGGCAGGGGAGTGGTCCCCGGACCTGTGCATAGCAGAGGAAGGAAGCAGGACGGGTGGAAAGAGAAGTGGAGTTCTGGGAATTCCCTGGTGGCCCAGTGGTTAGGACTCCACGCTTCCACTGCAGAGGGCACGGGTTCAGTCCCTGGTTGGGGAACTAAGATCCTGCATGCCATGCAGCGTGGCCAAACTAACTAACTAACTAAATAGATAGATAGATAGATAGATAGATTTTTAAAAAGTGGAGCTCTGTTGCAGGCCCAAAAGGGAACCCCAGGGCGCTCTGGAGCTGGAGGGGCCCTTCCCAGTTGCTTTGGAATGGTTGGGCCTTAGGACCTCAGCGTCCTTTCAGCACTGGGTGTGGCCCACGGTGTGCCCTTAGGCAGGTGGCTCTGCAGCAGCTGCCATCCCTGAAGGGGCTGCCAGCTGAGGGTCATGTGCTGACTGCACCCCCAACAGAAAGGATGGGTGGGAAGGCGGGAGATGGGCCGAATGGAGAAGACCAGCAGGAAGCTGGCCCCAGGTGGCTCTGGGGAGACAGGAACTCTAATGCCAAGGAAGTTGGTGGGGCATCTCTGGGTGGGGAGCCTGTCAGTGGGGGTTGGGGGATGCCTGTGGAGACCTCGAGCTTGGGTGTGGGGGTAGCAGGATGCCTAAAGACTGGGAGGGCAGAGGGGGCCTCAGCTCCTATTTATTTATTTAAAATTGAGAATTATGTGGGGTTTTTTTTTTTGCATTTAATATTCGTTTGTTTGTTTGCCCCCAGTCTTAGTTGCAGCACGTGTGCTGCTTAGTTGCGGCTCGCCGGCTCCTTAGTTGTGGCATGCTGGCTCCTTACTTGTGGCATGCAAACGCTTAGTTGCAGCATGCATGTGGGATCTTGTTCCCTGACCAGGGATGGAACCCGGGCCCCCTGCATTGGGAGCACGGAGTCTTAACCACTGCGCCACAAGGGAAGTCCCTCGGCTCCTATTCTAAAATTACTTGAGACTTCTCTGGCCGTCTGGTGGTTAAGACTCCGTGCTCCCAATGCAGGGGGCTCAGGTTCGACCCCTGGTCGGGGAACTAAGATCCCACGTGGCATGTGGCGTGGCCAAAAAAATAAAAATTACTTGATACTGGGACACTCCTGGTGGCGCAGTGATTAAGAATCGGCCTTCCAATGCAGGGGACACAGGTTCGATCCCTGGTCTGGGAAGATCCCACATGCTGTGGAGCAACTAAGCCCGTGTGCCATAACTACTGAGCCTGCACTCTAGAGCCCGTGAGCCACAACTACTGAGCCCGTGTGCCACAGCTACTGAAGCCCGCTCGCCTAGAGCCTGTGCTCTGCAACAAGAGAAGCCACCGCAATGAGAAGCCCACGTACCGCAATGAAGAGTAGCCCCTGCTTGCTGCAA